AAATAGAATAATTAATATCAATTTTATCCATATAGCACGACTAAACGAAGCATAAACAAAGTGGCCATACCCGTCTAGTGATTTTTTTGGAAACCATTGGTTCATATTCCTTGTTCTTTCCCGATTCTTCATTTGCTTCCACTCTCAAATTCAACGATGGTGCATAAAAGCTTTGCTTCAATTCCTCAATGCTCTACTAGTATAGAAAATAGTTAATGTTCAATTAGAGAGAGGTTTCGAGATAGACAGAGAAAGGGGGGGAGAGTTGTGGGAAAGAGATCAATAAAATTCTTTAGAAACACAAAATTCTAGAACAAAGTGATCCAACAACACAAATTTATCAACAAGTATCTGTATGAACTCCAGCGCTGGTACAAAAACATGCAGAAACACACACAACTGTGAAGAAAAATTTTTTGCCACAATACACATGTATAGAAAAATGAAATATCATATGCATGTACCGACATAAGTTGTTAATTTTTCTTTTAAGATATGAACCAAACTGCAATGTTACATATTGTCAATAGAACAAAACAGTTATTTGTAATCCAAAGTTAGGAGGAACAGTAAAATCGTAACATGTGCCCAAATAGATTTATAAGATGTTTTGATCATACCAGGCTGCTATTAAATTAAAAATAAAAAGAACAATGGGATTGCCGAACCACGAATGCAAATCCTAAAGTGTAGATAAAGAAGATAACAGAAAAAGAATTATCAAAATAACTAATCTCATCATGTTTCAATGGCCAGAATTGTTCCTTTTTTTTATCGAAAGGCTTCACAGATCACAGTCACAAATCCTTCGTGAATTTATAGTAATACCCTGTTAAGAAATAAGTAAGATAGAGAGGGAAAAGAAAAATAATTAACAAAATCACTAAACCTAAATTTAATTTTACAATACAAATCGCAATAAAAAAAAAGCATGAAATTCAATTAAATCAAATAAAAAAAAAGCCAAACTAATGTGATAACTCCATGCAACCAAGAACACATTACCAATTCCATACAGGGAAATCAAAGACTTGATCAATTCCATCAACCTTGCCCTAATCGAAAGAATAAAAGTTTTGTGCAATTACAATGATAAAAAAAGGGTCGGATTTATCAAAGAAGCAGCCGAGCCACAGAGAGAGGGAGGAGAGAGGGAGACATACCTGGGCAGTGTCGATGGCGGTGCGCGAAGGGCATCGTGGCAGTTTCGTTATAATGAGGCAGTGATGAGATAGAGAGGATGCGGAGAGTGATGAAAGAGAAGAGAAGAGAGGTACGGCGAGAGAAACAGGGGAGATCGGAAGGATATCGTAGATGTTGGTGGGCTGTGAGTGGCGGTCGATACAGTGAAGAGAGTGGAGGGAGAACGAGAAGAGAGAGGAATAGTGTCAGAGAGAAACAACTGAATTAGATGAGAGAGAGAATACTTGGGTGCGAAGTCTAATTGAAATAGGAAAGCAGAGGAGAGAGAGAGAATTCATAGAAGTATTTGAATTTAGAAAGCACGTGGGAGAAGATACGTAAGGCAGGCAGGAAGATTTAGTGACGTTATTATTAGGCGCGATTTAGGCTTAGTAAAAGGGTGAATTATACTTTATGCCCTCAAAAATTTAATAATTTTTATTTTATACTCTCAAAAATTAAATTTCTCATATTTTTCCTTTCACTTATTAAAAGTTATTACAATATAATCCTGTAGTTTGTTTTCCTAGTCATTCCATCAACTTTAGTAAGGTGATTTTGAATTTTGACGAAATAAACAATTAAAGGTAAAGAAAATACCATCATTTATATATTTGTGTATTACATGCACATAAATTTTAGAGAATCTCGAATGTAATATTCCAAATATAAGGGATTTAAATGATTAAATGACAAATCTAAAAAGTCAAATTATAATTAATCAAATATCTTCCGCTTCAATTAGAGCATTTTGGTCTTTTATTTGCTTCTATTAGTTACATTGCTCAATGGGTATTGATGAGGGGTCTAAGCATAATATCTATATTTATATAACAAAATACAATACAATTTAAATCTCAAAAGATAAAAAAAATGACTTTTGTTTTTTGCGATTATGATTGCTTTAAATTTTTACTTTAAATTTAATATAACGGTTAATATCAATACTCCAAATTATTAGAGAAAATAGACTCATAAAGACATGTTTGAAGTGATTTTTTTAAAGTGTTTTTATAACTTAGAACTTATGATGAATATTTTTTTAATAAAAATAGTATTTGAAACCGTCACACCACTCCCTCACCACCCCACCACCATCACCACTACCACCACCGCCCCACCCTTATCACCACTATCCCCACCACACCATTGTCGTCATCGCCTCCATTACTGTCATCACCACACCACCACCATCGTTGTTTCCACTCTACTACCACTATCACTGTCCCACCATCACCACCACCACGACTACCGCTATTGCCAACGTCACTGTCATCTCACCACCACTATTATTGCCCCACTACCCTTCCCCCCCTACCGATTGCTACCACTATTGCCCACCACCATTACCAACCACTCTCACCATCACTCACCACCGCCTATTTCCACCACCACTATTACCATCACTTGTGGTTGTCACTACCACTATTGTCACCAAAAACCTACTACCGCCATTATCACCTACGGCTGCCACCAATATTATGATCGCCACCACCCACCACCACCACCACCATCACCATCACCATCTCTCACCACCACTACCTGCCATCACTACCATTGCTCACACCCCACTATAACCCTGTGCTTAAATTTTTTTATCTATCCTCTATGTTTTATGATTTAATTTTGAACGTGAATATAAATATGTGTTATTATTGACCATTTTTTTTATTACTTTATGCCTTTAGGCACGGGTAATAATTAATTATAAATATAAGATATTTATGTAATTAAATGACAAATTTTAGTTAGTCCAAGTGTAATTTATTCAAAATTAATTGAACTATCTTGATATTCTGACCATGCGAGTCTTTAACCAAAAAATAATTTATATAATATTTTTATTTCATTACTCAATTTTAGGTTTGTTAATTCTGAACATGCTTATCAAATTGGGCATAAAATCAATACGGCAATAATTATTAATATTTCTTTTTATATTTATCTATATCGCACTATTGATGTTACTGTGACAATGATATCAAATAATATATAGAGTTGTATAGACTCTGCATGTAACTGTTTATTTAGGTGGATCAATCTACACCTTTACTCAGAGCCCTGGGGTTGTGTCTCTATCTCGTATGTGCGAAATCTAAGAGACTAGTTCTTATGAAAAATTTTCTTTGTCTAATTCTACGCTTTATGCCAAAAATAGAGTCTGCATGAAGATTGAAAGAGTAAATCAAAATTCTCGTATGGGGGTATTCTGAATGTGTAACCTATGCAACGAACAAAATGGTTCGATAGTTCAACTAGAGGAGAGATCAATTGGTTCAACAAAACCCAACCCAATGTCACACGTTTTCCAAGATTTATATCAGTGGTTTTGTGCTTAATTTTATTAAGTTTGAATGGTAAATAGATAGACCTGTTTGACCTCTAAAAAAGTAGATTGACATGAATTTAGTTAAACACGACACGAACTCAATTTGATATAAATATATTTTTATATGATATGACTTACACTCAACAAAATAAGATATTGTACTAATTATTGACAATCTTATTCAAATTTTATAAAAAAATATTCAAAATAAAATTGTTAAAAATTACATCAAAATCAACAATCTTAAGTTCAGTCATTCTGATCTTTTTAGCAACCCAACACACCTCACAAATAAATTATCTTATATACTCTTTTTTTTTTTTGGGTATATTTGATTTTCGCAAAAGTTCATCATTTAAAGTGCTTTGATTAAATTCAAAATACCTAGATCTAATTGGTGCATCGGGCTAGTGCCGAAAATTAGCTAATAGAAAGTAGTCAAAATTTGAATTTATCCCTATTCATTTCTATCACATCACTTATTTATGTTATAAGTTGAGTCATTTAAATTTTGATTAATTTTTTGGCTCAAAATATAATTTTTATTTTGAATATTGTTTATATACAATAGTGTACACAAGTTAATATTTTTTTAAGCAATTCGAAGAAAGTTGGGATGGTTGGGATGATTAGACTGTTCATTAATAAACCTTTAAGGTTTATGACTGTACTGCACTGAGTGATTCAACTAAATAATGTTTGCTAGGGCATGCGCAGAGAGTCCATCAGTACCAATAATAACTTTAGCTTCGAAAAAAAGAGTAACAATCTCATGGTTAATCAAAATTCTGTCTAACTTGTGAGCTATTCTTCTTTGGCCAAACTCTTTGCTAGACCACGTCATGTATTGTCGATTTTTTGTTTCAAAAAATAATTGATAGAAATTAATTTTAAATTTTTATTTTGATATAATAAGATCAATTTTTAGAACGTTCGAATTTTATTTCAACGTGCCCTAAGGACACAGGTTATTGCTAGTTGACACATATCCATTCTCCCTTTAGGTAGGCTTTTTAATGAATTAGATTTGTATGGTTCATGAATTCAAACTCGATTTGACAAATTTGGTCCAATTATTTGAATATTCAATTCTAATAAATTAATTAGAGTTTATTTAATAAATTACACTTGAATTCAACTCAATATTATCAAATAATTACTAAATTACATAATATATTGACATATAGTCTTATACATATTGAATTAGAGTATTATTGAATCAGATATAGATAAATCTAAATTCGATGCATGAAAGGAAATGTTGTTCAGACACCTCTTCTAACTACTACTCTAGCTGAGGCATCTTAGGAAACAGGAGTTTCCCCTTCACCACAGATTAGGATGCCACCCCGTTCCTTCTGTGTCCATGCTTCAGCCCCCAGAAATCTGTCCTCTCAGCAATTCAAAACTCATCAACTTACAAAACTAAACTTGGCATATGAAGTAGTTTAACAATGCCCAATATTAGGTATGTACCCACCATCTATATCTCACAACTCCCACAATTAACAAGAATCAAACTTATCAATGACAACACAATTTTCATGAAATGTTCTGCTGACAAAAACACCAAAACACATTACATGCATCATCTTTGATCATTTCATTAAAAGACCAATGGCCGAATTCCAATTATGGATTGATAGCATAAAACACATCAGCCTTTGCCATACAACGGATTTGTAACTGTTCAACACCAACAACAAACAACAATATGATCACCAACTGCCAAGACAAGAATCCTGAATCCGGTATATCGGTAATGTTTAGGAACTACACATTTTTCCTTTGATTGAAAAACTATAGCAAACGAGCTCTAGAAACCGCTAGAAGAAATCGAATTCAAGATAATTATCAGAACTTTTCTGATTGGGGGTAGTTCCAACAGCAGCTTTTTCACTAGCAGATGCTGTTGGAGCTGGAATTCGCTCAACCTCAACTGGCTTGGGAATCTCTGGAGGACTTGCACAACGAATCAATGCCCAATTCACACCTTCAAAGAAGGAATGTTGTTTGATCTCTGTTGCACCTCGTTTGTACGCCAATCTGTGTTGTGGCTCTTTTACTAACAAGCCTCTTATAAGATCCCTTGCAGAAAAACTGACAACGGGTGATTCTGGGAATCGCAGTGGCTGACCCACAACATTCAATAGAGTGGCACGATTTCCAGATCCCTTGAAGGGAGTCTTGCCAAACATTAACTCATACAAAAAGATCCCAAAAGTCCACCAATCCACGGCACTCCCATGCCCTTCACCTTTGATGATTTCAGGGGCCAAGTACTCATGGGTCCCAACAAAAGACATTGACCGCGCTCCTGTGGGCTCAGCAATAAGCTCCGGCAATGGGCTGACTTGGTTTCCAATTTCATTTTTTGGTTTTTTGTCTTTCTTGGATTTACTTGAAAAAAAGCGAGGGCCAAAACACATTGTAGGGGCCACACAGGATGGCTGAATACAAGAGGGCTCAATGCAAGCAGGTTGGACACAATATATAGGGTTCTTTCGTAAGGGCTCAGTCTCAAGGGATGACGACTTGACAAGTGTTGGGCTGACAGCACAGCGGAGGGAAAGGTCAAAGTCAGAAAGCATTATGTGTCCATCTTCTCGTACAAGGACGTTTTCAGGCTTGAGGTCGCGATACACAATCCCAAGCATGTGGAGGTATTCCAAAGCAAGGAGGACCTCTGCTACATAGAACCTGCATTTTGAAATTTGAGAGATTTTACCATTTAGTGTGAGGACAAATAACAGATATGCTCAAAACTTAGAAGATCCATGTTGCCTAACAAAGTAACTTGTCCATTACCCGATACAATTATAAACAGCACATGCACAATCTCTAAGCATCAAGCATGTGGCAAACTTATGGATCACACTATAAAGGGACGACAAAGCTTAATCTTGAAATGCATGAGTTCCTACCGGCCAAAAAGAGAGGAGACAGAAAGGAAGAAGCTTTATTGAAACAAAGATAAGGTTTTCCTGCTTTTTGGCTTTCTACCTTGAACAATGTACATATTTTTTTCCCGAAAGTAAAATATGCATGAACTCGAGCAAAAAAGTTTACAGCTGAACTTATTTTCAAAAAATAAGCACCTTGTAGCCTCCATGGACAAAAACAAAGCACAAAGAGAACACTTACCAGTAGCAAAGGGAAAGATGAGAGTCCTGTTTACATTAAATTATGAGTACACACTGGGAGGGAAATTTGTAGGGGTGAGGGACAGAGAGATGGAGTACAAAAAACTCATCTGCATAGTGCAAGGATTATGTATAAGTATGGTCATGCATTGAGAATAGCTTGGTTCTGAATGAAGATTCAAATTGGACGCCTCGAGCTCTTATGACTTATCCTTCGCCTTAAGATATTCCACTATATGCATGAGTAACGTTGTATTTGCCTGATAATTTTGTCTTGACCAACTGCTATAGGCACTATTTAAGTATTAATTAAACCTTATTCCAAGACAGCAAAAACATGCTACAACTATCCGTTTTTCTTTCTCTTTTTTTAAAGTATCAACTTTTTCCATACATATTGCATTCAAGAAATGCTACTTTAATATCTTCTCCACTTTTGCTTGAAAGTAACATTTTTCTCGATCAAAAAAGGAGTTCCATATAAGAGGGGCCACCCAAAAGGAGGGCATTATATAATCACAAAAAAAACTACCCAAAAACTAAACTGATTGTATAGAAAAACCAAATACTATAATACCATTTCTCCACTTGTGAATGCAAATAAAAGATACACCAAACTCTGACAGAACTAACTTCCAAGGAAAAAGGTGCAGTTCACAACTTAGCACAACAATTATCCCCGGCTGTATGCATGAATGCACATGTACCATAAAGGGATTCAGCTACAACTTATACAACTACAGTGTATCAGGCGCAGTCAACAAACCTAATCCAAACTGGAAATGTCAAACACGTTCCATGGGCATTAACACCTAAAAGGATAGTCTTTAGAATGAATGAGGATTGAATGAAGTCCTCGTTGAGTACATGTTCATAGGTGATGCCAGATACATATTAACCAATTGCAGCATCAACCCACCAATGAAATGTGTCTGCCTCTATGTAGTGCTTCCATGAATGTTCCTATCCATATTCTTGTTCAAATATCATGCATTGATGTGAACCACAACCAAAGCTTTATACTCTCTCTCTCTCTCTCCATCGTTCAAAAGCCATGTGACAAGACAAAAGACAGCAACAAGGAAAATGGTCTTGATTACAACGTGGGGGGTATACTAAAGTTATAAGGTAAAGCGAAAGAGGACCAAATCCAAAGCTCCACACAAGTATATGATTTTTTTTCCTCAAATGATAAGCAAGTCATGATATCAAAACTTGCAGCATAGTGCAGGTTGATAGGATGGTCTACAAGAATAGGTTGCGATCATCAATTGCTCTTTCTAATTAACTCAAATGATAAGCAAGTCATGATATCAAAACTTGGAGCACAAGGCAGGTCGACAGGATGGTCTACAAGAATAGGTTAAGATCATCAATCACTCTTACAATTTATTCAGGACAGAAATGACTCCGAAGCTTCCTTTGTCTCCTGCTTGTGACAATCATGTACTGTTTTTGACAAAACTATATTAAGAATTCTACAGTTCTGTCTTCGGTAATTTTAAGAACACTTTAAGGACACTTTATAACTCTCTCCTTATAACTCCCATAAAAACATCTACTAGAATTCCAGGTGAAGAGGAATTGATTTCAGGGATGCTTCTGTTGGGATGAATAGTTCTCCAATGAACTTAGATGGGAAACATTAATTAAAATCCAGATCCCAAGGCACTTACTAATATGTCATCTACATGTTCATAGCAATACAACTCTAGAGCATGAAGACAGGAGGAACATCACAAACCTTTAAGAAAATCAAGTGTCTGAAGAACGATGAAGATTGGAACTTTAAATTTCTCAGTTTTTTCTTCATTATATACTATTAGCCTTTCTGTTTAATTTTCAATTTTATTTTTATTTGGTAATATTTCAAGGACTCCTAGTCTTCTTTGTACTCGTCATTTTTATCATTAATAATATTTTCTTGCTTCCTACAAAAAAGATTTTCTTTTAGGAGTTAACACAACTCTATGGAAGATTAAAACATATTAACATTATCAGCAGGAATGAGATTCATACTTTACAGCTTGTTCAGAAAAATGCTTTCCTGGTTGCCTCTGTCTAAGTGTATGTAAGTCACCTCCGGGACAGAACTCCATCACCAAACACGAGAATTTGTCTGTCTCAAAATGGGAATATAAGGTCGGAAGGAAGGGATGGTCCAAAGACTGCAGAATCTCTCTTTCTGTCTGTGCGCGAAGCAACTTCTTACGACCTGCTAGTGATGCTTTGTCCATGATCTTCATGGCAAAATAACATTTTGTACCACTCAACTCTGAAAGATAGACACTACCAATATCCCCGCAGCCCAACTTCTTCAGCAATCTGAAGTGACACAAACCTAAGACCCCATCTTTTGCTCGGGCAGCTCGAATGGCCTCCCATTTTGAGTCATTCGCTTTATGAGGTTTGTTAACACTGCTACTCAAGCTGCTACAAGTGCTTTCATCACTTACATCACTGCTTGTGCTACCCCTACACATGCTGCTCTTGCCACTTTCAACAAAATCAGCTCGATCACTAATTTTGGCACTTCCACTAGTTTTTGCAAGGCTGCTAGCTCCATCGCTAACCTTGGCAGAGGCTGAGCAATCCTTGACAGTTCTATGCTCCACTGTTTTCTTTTCCTGATCAGCTGAGCCTCTCGTTTCACTTTGTGTATGATTTATGCTTGTTGGCACTTGTTTCGAATCACCCAAAGATAAGCTTAAATCTAATTTATCACCTAAATAATTAGCAGGCCCGTTTTGCTGAGAATCCTGTGACTTTTTGTTCACTGTTGCTTCTACGGTAACCTGTTTAAAGGGAACTTCTTGAACACAGCTGGCTAATTTCTTTGGGGTGGTGGGGTCAGATATACCTGTCCTGGAAACCTGCAAAGGTGAAGACCTGCGACAATTTCCTTCTAATGCTTGACTACCAGTAGTTTTACTCTGCTTTTCCACGGAACCTTTGATATTAGATTTTGAGGCCATTGAAAGAAATGCACACTTGTCAAACTATTCGGACTGAATAAACCAATCACTCAGATCCAACACGCAGAACGCGTCCCTCTTCGCTATCAGTCCCAAAGGTTATAATCTCCAACTCCATCAACTGCAAGAAGGTATATACAATAATCACGACAGAAATATCAATAAATCACAATCAACTGGTCTATGCCAAGATGAAACTTGAGCACAAACGGATGAAATATAATGAAACCAACTCTGAAACAGGTTACATTATCCAGTGACAAAATTAAGCAAATCAAGGGCGTCAACTCATTGTCGCCACTAAATATAACAAATTTGGGAATCAAATCATAAAGCCAGACCAAAAAGCACCATCTAGCTATCAACCAAAGGTAAACAAAGTCTAGAGATAACAGGTCAGTAGATCAGAATTCCACAATTAACCAATTTACAATTAAGACTAATAAAACCCACAAAGAAAAACCAAATCTTTCCAAAAAAATTAGAAGTTGCAAGAACAAAATCGCAAGCAGGTCCAGATCAGATGATATATGCAGGGAAAGAATCCAGATATTCAACAAGAAACAAAGACAGCATGAAAGCGAGCATCGCAGTCATCTACCTCAAAACGTCAATCGATCATCACAGTGAAAGTAAACTCAGAATAGGAAATGCCAAGTTTTGCGGGAATCAATCGATTCACACACACAATGTATTGCGCAGCAGCTCTATAAAGTTTTCAAGCACCACACATCAAAAGAAAAGAAGAAAACCCGTGAAGATAAACAAGAAAAAAACGGAAAGCGTCAATGAAAAGCATACAGATCTTGAGCACATACCCACCTCTTTCGATGGAAACCCTACCAAGAGATCCAAAACATGGAAAGACCCAGAGGCTAAAAAACAAAGTAGAGGGTATAGAGAAGCAAACCCACTGAGGAAATCACAGGACCAGTCAAAAGTATTAAAAAAGAAGCCAAAAAAGAGTACCTGAAATTACAAAGATCAGAACTTTGATGTTTTGCTTTAGCAGTGAATAAAAAGAGCACTACTGTAGAGAGAGATAAAGAGAGCGACCCTCCTCCTAAAATGTGTGGAGAGAGAGAAAGAGAGGAGAAGAGAAAAGAAAGAAAAGCTTGAAGTATATTAGAAAGAGTTGGGGCGCCGGTGGGCTACCATATATTGAGAGAGAGAGAGAGAGGGGTCAAAGGTAAAGTAAAGCTTTTCACGTCCAATTATTTCATTATATTTTGTCCCAAACTTAAGGGTCTGAAATCTGAATCAACGTATGGGCCTCTCTCCCTCCCTCCCTCTCCTGTTGCTTGGACCTCTTAAGTTTCCCATTCAGGTCTTCAACTACTTGGAAATGACCTGTGATGTCCGTGGTGCCACCCATGTAGAGTGGTCCCAAAATGAAAAGGGTAGCTCTGCTTTTATGGTTGTTAATCCAATAAGTTTATGGGCAAATGTTCCCCATATATGATTGTTAATAGAGTGATAATCTTATGCAGGGGATGCACTTTATCATTATGAAGGTGAAAGTTCGATTTTCCGATATTGTTAAGGTTGTCAAGTAATTTTAGATCAACAATATCTACATTCTCATAAATTATATTTGTTCTAAGCATTCTACTTAGATCATCATTTATCAATAAATTTTTTCAATTTTTTAGTTTAAATTGGAAGAATATAGAGATCAAATTAGTTTTCCATTGAGTATTTTTTATTTTTTTTCAGTTCATTGTGAAATCAACGGCTCAATGACAGATAGGGTCAACCACCCTCGGCAACCAATTTCTGAGCTTTCCTCATTCTTAAACAAATGAGACTTGGCAATATGATGTGACATTTAATAGTAATAGTAAAACACAAATTATCAAACTCATGAGAAACCAATCTGAGTGGAATAGCTCCTCAATAAAAAAATAATGATAACAGCAGCTTAATTGGTTGCATTTTAACAACTACAAAGTCCAACACATCGTTCCACCATCTTGAAGCCAACTCCCACTGTTACCCCAGGACAAGCTCGGAACAAGTGCTTAAGGGATGGTATACCAAAATTTAAAAGATATTCATCAGCTTACGAAACCAAAGAGTTTCAGAAATTTCTTGCTGCTAATAACATCAATTCTCTCATACACACACACATATATTTGTATATAGCTTGCCCTGGTATATATACATAGCTGCAGGTCAAGTGGAGAAAACACTACGACTTTGCACTGATATCAAGCATACAGTGAAATGACTTCCATTCCTGAATAACAAATTGGCGAAGTAGCATTGGAACAAGACACACCAACAAGGCAGTACAGTAATTGCAAACATGAATGGTGAGTGACTAAATTTTCCTAGTTTCGGTATGGAGTTTTAGTTTGTGATCACCCAAAAAAAGTACACAGAAATCCCACATCTGATCGCAAAACATGATTGTAGACTTACCCTAACAGTCATACTCATACCACCTTGAATACTGCAAATGAATGAACTTCAGGCAAGCATAAAAAATCCTGATTTTAGATAATGAATTAGTAGATGACAGCTGAAAAATGTCACCCAATCAATTCTATCGAATATTTTGTTGTTGTATTTGTCGTTTCCCCTCCTTTTGAACTTGGGTTGTCTTCTCATTCTTTTTGTAAACAAAACATTTGTAAAACCAAAATTGAAATAATGGGCATAAACCCTTCATGCATCAGCCAGGAGCAGTTTGTTTTCTTCATGTATCCATACTATCACAGACAAGTAATTTAGAATCTAATGAAATCCTGCATTAGGCAAGACATGAGAAAGCATTGGCTTCTCTGAAGACGCAATGGATATATCGCAATCCCATCAGATCTTCATGAGCTCCTACCAATGAGTTTCTTCACCAACTTTTCTTACTTGTAGCCTTTTTCAAAACTTTTCTCTTTGCTTCCCTTGAGGCTTTCCTCTTCTCTTCTCTGCACAAGTTTCAAAAGATAATTCAAAACACAGGTTTTTTATTCGACCAATAGGAGGGAACCATTCCAAGTTTATTTTGAATCCCCCCCCCAAAAAAAAAAAAAAAAGATATGAAAAAGTCGAATGTTACTGTTAACCATCTATTAAAAAGTAATCAGTTGGATATTCAAACTAGAATTAATCTGAAAGACCGATATCCTGTCAAGTGTAAAGCTATATATGTTTTAAGGAATCTTATTATAACAGTTATATGAAAAAAGATCTTTGTACCGGGCTTCTGAGATTTCCTCTCTCGAAAGGCGTTTTCTTTTCTCCCTCTTTCTAATGGTCGTCGTTTTTTCTACTTTCCTGGTTTCAGGAACCCCTTTCTTCAAGCTCTCATATTCTTTTGCAGCATCTTCTTCCTCATTTTCTTGCTGCTGATATTCCCCCGTGGCATTCTTCTTGTTGCTGCTTTCAATTGGCTCAGGATCATCTTTCTTCAAGCTCCCATATTCTTTTGCAGCATCTTCTTCCTCATTTTCTTGCTGCTGATATTCCCCTGGTTCAGAAGGTGCTGAGGTTGGCTTGGAATTGCTCATTTTTTTCAACTGCAAGAGACAAATATGGGAAAGGTCAAATTCGTTAGTCTGATAGTATGAAGCCTCAATTACATAAGTTATTCAGGATGTATTAAACTGAAGAAATTTGCCCAAGGAAGTCAACTAAAGGTCAGTTCGATCTAGATGCTAAATTTCGTCTACAGAAGAGACTTGTCAATCAACCAAAAGTAGTTGGACTTGATAAAACTATTCAGGATGCTGTCAAACTAAAAAAGGTCAGTTTGATCAAGATTCTGAATTGTTCCAAATAAGGGACTAGTCTACTAACACAATAGAAATTTCACTACAAGTCAAATCTCAAAATAGTTGAGAGAAGGCTTTGATTGGTGAACGAGATTTACCTTTGCCACAAAAAATCCATCCATGTTGTGCACATGGGGATAGAAACGTCTTGTCTTTTCTAAAGAGGGGTGAAATTGGTGTCTTCCCCTAAATCGGGTAAACCTGATATTGCGGAGAAGTTTTGTTAAATGTAAAAATACACATTGTTTGCCAGTATATCCACAATATGTAAAAGTTAAAAATACCCTGGACGCCCAAAGTCAAGTCCACATGGCACAAGTTTCACATCCCTCTTCTTGAGTGCATAGTCTATAACTGCTTCATTCTGCAGAAGCAGTAACTTGAGTGCGTAGTTGAGACAAGTCTACTAATTTAAAAGGGTAAAATCATAAACAAACCTCAGGGATCATTATAGAACATGTGGAGTAAACAATGTATCCCCCTGATTTTGAATTGGCATCCACCATGTCTATTGCTGCAAGTATCAATTCCTGTATGGAACACAGTCAGAACTGAAATTTTTTGCCAATGTTATCGAATTCAAAATAAACATCCATAGCAAGTCTTGCATGGGCGCCCCCCCGGAGGAACACACCATCATAAGAGGTAGTATCTGGAAGAACACACTATCATAAGAGGTAGAATCCGGAAGAACACACTATCATAAGAGGTAGAAGATTCTTAGTACTGTACTCAAACCAGATGACATAGTAAATTGACTAAAAAAAATGGACTTGATGAAAGCTGATAAGCTGCTGCTGCGTTCAATTTTTTGCCAGGAAAAAAGTGGGGCCTTCTTTAAAAAATTACTGTTGCAGTGAAACAGCTGTACGGAAATGCACGCTTGAAACGGGTTAAGATTTAACATGAGTTTTTCAACCGTTGATGCCAAGTCAACACTCAAATTTTGTTTTCTTCAATTTTTGTGTGAATTTTACATGGTTTGCCTTCTAATATTCAGTCATAACCACATTAACTGAAGAAATTATTGTTAAATACCATGTAGGTTAAGTAGATCCTTGGTTGATGTCCCTTTGTTTCAATGCTCAAAAGAAACCTGCCTCACTATATTTTCAGTTGACAGAAGAAAAGGTTACAACAGAGAACCCCAGGAGACAAATATATCATAGTCCTTCCAACAGGTCACAGACAAGAAGAAAAACAATACCAAATTAATCACTACAAAATTTTTTTGGCTGTTCCATATTTGTCAGTGATATTGCCCTTTTATCAAATCTAAACCCATCAGGCTTCAGAGATTTTTATGAATATTAACTGAAGCCCATCCTAGTTTAAGAGAGTATGAAGCTCATTTCACTTGGTCACAAGAGAATTTCCTTTTTAAATCCCTGGGACCTGGGTCAGTCAGCTAATAATTCATCATCATTATTTGATTTTCTTTTCAGAACCACAATTTTTTATGAGCTGCTCCAACATTACTCATATGCCCAAGTTCCTAATATCCTTGACTCCACAGATATTCTTTTACACCTGCCTCAGTTTTACTCCAATTCAATATTGGTTCGAGCACAATTTCCAAAGTTCAAATCAAAAATTCATGTGAAGAGACCCAAACACACATACAACCATACCAGAATCATTAAACACATTTTCAGGAAGCATTCTGGGGGAGAGGGGAAGCAACTCTTCTTGCACTATTCAAAAAGCAAGAGTGAAACAATAACAGCATACAATAAACCTCATAAGAAAACTAAGATCATTCAAAGCAGGTATGTACCTTCTGCAAAATGGAACAGTTCAGAATATCTTTAAAGCTTTTAGAGGTTTTGACAGACTCGTCTTTTGATATGACCTGCAAAGTAAACCAAAAACATCTAATCCCATAGAATAGCGGATATAAGAGAAGAATCCACCCAGGAAGAGTAAATATCAAGCCCAATCACGTACCCCAGTGCCACTGCATGGAGCATCTAACAAAACCCTATCTGCAGTGTTGCGACCCAAAACTTTAGGCAGCTGAAGTTAATTTGAAAAAAGGAGAAGAGAGGAAAAAACATTAGACACAGTAGATGGAGAAAGGTACTAGGGAAAGAGTAAAGCTATTGAGCACCATTATCATCCTGAAAATACAATACATACAATCATCGAGTTACAATGTAATTTCAAACAAGGTAAGACTCTAACCTCCCTCCCATCGTAGTTGGAAACAATGGTATTTGTCACCCCCATGCGATGTAGATTTGCAGTGAGTGAGTTGAGCCTCGACTCCTTCATTTCATTCGCATAAATTATTCCTGGCAAAAAAGTAATATCTTTATAGACAGAAAACGGATACTAATTTTGCAGCAGTTTCACCATCACAATCAAGTAAAATTTGCCAAACCGATAAACAAATGAAATAGTTATGTGAATTTTAAAGTAGATAAGACCCTTCATTTCCCCAATCCCCAGGCAATCACAGACACCAGTTCCTTCAGTCACCAATTAAAGGAAACAAAGATGGAAGGTATTTCGTCATAAATACACATGCAAACATAAAAAGACAGGTACAACAATGAGATACATTTACATACCACTGTTCTTCATAAGAGCAGCAACATATGTTGTTTTACCACCAGGAGCAGCCCTACAACAAGACCAATTTGCCATCAAGAGGGAGAATGCACGTGCAAAACCTGTGCTGATAATTTCACATAGAGAAATCTATATAATAAAACAGAATGGTTTTTAAATTGCACCACTTGTAAAATTATAAGAATGTCTCAGATTAAACCAAAATTGATCCGTAGGGACAAAACTCCCACCCGAAATTTCGGTTTCTTGCCCATAATTCTCCATATCTTGCCCCCTCAATCAGGCAGTCTCTCTTTCTCCTGCCCCTTCTCCTTCCTCCCTCCCCATCTCTGCTCTTCTCTCTCCTCCCAAACCCCCTTTCTTCTGTCATTTCTATTTCCTTCCAAATTCGGTTATCTTCTACCGCCCTGCTCTACCCCATCTTTTTCTCTCACCCATCTCCAGCACCCAAGTCACCCAGCTTTATCTGCCCGTCTCACCCAGCACCCTCTGCCATAGGCCTAGCCGCAATTGCCACGCCAAACAGTGTCTGCCCAGCCTCCCTTACGTACGAGGTAATTCTCTCTCCCTCTACTCACATTCCTCCCTTCCTCCACCAGCTGGTTCCCTCCCTATGTCTCTGCCCACCACCATTTGCCCCTGCCAAACTCCAACCCCCCTCCCCCGGGGGGCAGGGGGAGGCTGACAAGCCACCCATCAGACAATTTAGTTCATTAACTATTATGTTTATCTCACTTTCTATGGTTTCAATTTTTTTTTGAAATGACTATTGTAGCTCCAAGATTTTCTTAATTTTGTCAAAAAAAAAGAGGTTAATTCAATCAATTAATGATTTTCCTTCCTTGTATAGGATTATCTGATGGTCATTTTAAATTGGGCAATTTTAATTTGTGCAAATTATTATCCTATTTGAATTTTTAAATTGCCTTCCTTGAGAATTTTTAAAATTCTTTCGATAATTGCTATTAGTTTCACCTTTTCTCTGTTTTTGATTGGTTATTTGACTGGGTTCACCTTTCTGATTGGCATTTTTTGGTATTACAAGGCACAGGTCCATCGAGCGTTCTTCGTATGCCTATAAATTGCTAAGACATGTTTTTTGCCCCCACCTAATAAAAAAAAAGACCTCTATGATTGTGCATGCCACGTAAGAAACCATGAGAAATCAAAAGCAAAAGTAGCAGAATATTGCAGAATTTTTAAAATTTATTCCTTCCCCCCCCCCCCCCCCCCCCCC